CCAGGTAGACTGGTGCGCGGTCCAGGTCCTCAGAGAGATCCTGGGGGGGAGGGGGGGAGCGAGGGGGGGTTAGAATCAGAGCTGAGACTGAACGTTAGTCAAGCTCAAAACATAACAAAACTGAGTGAAAAAAAATCTGAATCAGTGGTTCTCAAAGTGGGGGACGGGGCTTTTTTTAAGTTCGTGTCAAAATGGAAAAAAAAACCCGCTGATTTTTAATTGTACTTCCTTAAAAACTGACTCACTTTATCCTAATCAGAGTTTGATTTCCACAGAAAGGAGTCCATGTGCCACCAGCAGTACATGAACCATAGTTTCAGAACCACTAATATCAACATGACTGACTGTTATTTTTCGTTATTTTAAATGATTTGCTCTCATCACGTTGTTGTATTTGTGATGACTTCAGGAAATTCACCGTAGCAACCATTGACGCAATGTTTCATGGACGTTTGTCAAAGTTCCCGGAACTTGTCGAGCCGAGTTGAGCGCCATCATCTGGTTCTGTTTGGCTCTGAGCCCCCGGTTCAACACTGCAGACCCCCCTGTCCCCCCCCATTTAAAAACCTCATAAATGGACTGCTATAATTTCCCATGAACTTGGTGGGCTGCGATCCAGTTTCCAACAACTGGAGCCCACATCAGCCGTTACCGTGACAACGTGGTAAACACCACAACAACATGCCAGCTCGGCCTTACCTCCAGCTCTATGGAAGTCTCCCTCATTCTCAGCACAGGGCCGTCCTGCTGTGTGCGCCCGTCGGTCATGTGCGCTGCCTCCTGCTGTCCGTCCGTTCGTCCGTCTGTCACTGAAGTGTCACCTCTATCTCTGCATCTCTGGCTTCCTCATCCCACACTGATAAAAATACGGCTGCAGGAAACATGTGACTGTGCAGAGCAACAGGCAACAATTCGAGACGTGTCCCGGGGATGTTTTTGTGCTTTCTGTCTGAATCATTTTCACTTCTTCACGGAGCAGCAGAGAGCGCAGCGCTGCACAGAACTCTGGGAGTTCAGGGCCACTTGCTGCTGCTGCTGAGACATGAGTGTGACGCTGCATTAACTGGGGTAAACACTTCTTCCTGGGGGGTAAACACGGCGTGTGTGCTGTCGTCATTATCGCTGCAGCACATGGCTGGAAACTACTGATAGAGCCCACTTACGTTCTGGAGCTCATGTGAGCGTGAAACACGTTGACGGTTTGGGAGGAAACACAAACAAGGAGACGTCACACGACGGCGGTCGCAGGAAACGTGACTCTTGTAATCGGTTTCAGAGTTAATTCGTTAATAAGGATTTTTTTCTCAGGTTGAAATAAAAATGTATTTTGTCTTTTATCCAATGTTAAAACGGATAAAATACGTTACACATTAAACTCAGAACTATTTTTGAAATTAGGGATGAATAGTGCCACCTAGTGTGCTGGAGTGTGTAGTCTCACGGTGTGACCAGTGACTTTCTGAGATAACGCAGCCTACTTCATGTTCCTTGATACGCAATTTTTTTAACTGAACCAATACTGTCACACATTTGTATTGATTTTTAACTGATTTACGATGCGTTGTTATACAGTTTTTTAAAATTTATTTTATCCCATCCTCTTCTGACTTTTTTGTGTGTAGACCGCACAGAGACAAAGAAGCAGGTTGTGGTCTGGTGTCAAAGGTCATCCTCCAGTACTGAAGACAACGTGGACCTAAACAAACATATGTAGAACACGCTTTTAGTTTCGTGATAATTCTTTTGTTTAAAAAAAAGTCGTACAACTTCTGACTTACCGTTGACGATCAGAGAAGTTCCCCGCAGTTCTTTTTTCAACCACCGGTGAACGGGTTCAAATGAACAGAGTTAGAAGTTGATGTTGAGCATTTTATTTATTCATTTATTTCAGTTGTTGTTTTTGAGACAGCCAGCAGGGGACAGGGTCGGACTACATGTTGTTTTTAAACAACTACACAGTTTTACATACAGAACAGAAACTTATATAAAAAGAAAGTTATATGAAAAGACGAGGCCTGTGCCCGTAATACAAGAGAACAACACGGAGAGAAAACTGCAGCTACAGTCGTCGTCAATATATTTATAATACGGACAGTAGGAGGCAGCACCGCGACGGTGAAGCAGCCAGCGAGAGGAAAAAAAAAAAAAAAACACGTAATACTAGCGCAGATACTGCCGCCGCCAACAGCCATCGGGTTCACTGTGAACGTTGGAGCGGAATCTTTAGAAAAAGTACAGTAAAAAAAAAGTAGAATACAGTTTGATAAAGTAACGATAACATGGAATATAACTGTCATCGACAGACTGAAGTACAAACGATGAGGATAGTGGTATTAAGTACTGCATCGACAGAACAGATACTGTAAAAACAGGGCTCAAAAACATGGAAGGAGTGAATGTGTGGAAGTCACAGACGGGAGGGGGCGCTAGTGAACGCATCGTCATGGAAGTCGTGCAGCAAATAATTAATACAGTTTTTAAACATTAATATTATTCGTAAAGTTTCCTGGTCAGAGGTGGTGATTGGTACTGGTTTCATTAGGATCAACCAATGAGAGCATTTGGGGGTGGGGCTAAGACGGCTGCGACACTTCAATGAACCAGAGCAGAAAAGATAAAAACAGAAAAAAAAAACCCATTTTGTTCACGGAGGAGTCATTTTCTCCTCAAAGTCACACTTTCTAATTTTGCACATGATCAACCAACCGTTGTCCAGCACTAACAACTAACCAACCAGAACCTGACAAAGAAAGCTGTCAAACATTTGGTCAAGATTATCTGAGATACTGAAATTTCTTTTTTTTTTAATCTAAAGCTCAAAACTCCACAGGTTTAGTTTTTATGATATAATACACATCATAAAACGCTTGTTGGTAAAAAAAAAATAATACAAAAATTAATTATTCAATGCAAAATAGAACGCACCATGAATCATATCATGCTTTTAGTTTTCTAGACGTCCATCGTCTCGTGATGTTTGAACATGTGACACCAAAGGCATTTTTTTTTTATTTTACTACGAAATTGTGCAACACTCACATTTTAGGTCCTTTTTTTTTTCGTTCTTTCAGCCGTTCAGCTGCGTTGTAACGACACTGTTTCCCTGGGTTGACGTGTGTGCATCGCTGGACTGTTCGTGCATTTACTTTGTGCATGCATTGATACAACACTTAACACTGTTCAGCTCTAATCGACTGTTAAAAAAACCCTGTTGATTTCAGTTTTGATCTGCTTTCAAACGGTCAAAGAAGGAAAGTAACGATAATTCTCAACAATTATCAACGCACAGATTCACATCAACAAAAACCAAGAACAACATCTACTGCTTTTATCTATTGTGGTTTTTTTCTCGCGGTTTAGCCCTAAAGACTCTACGAAACTCCTGGAGCAGAGCAGCTGATACGAAGCACTTTTTAAGGCAAGCACCGTGAACCATGCTGACAGAAAGTGTTGAGAGAGCGCGCTGTGACGACAGAGCCACGGCGGTCGACGCGTGTGGAATGGTTTTCACTGCAACGTAAGACATCGGCGCGAACATCGGCGTTCAACATGAGCGTCATCACCACGGTTACGGATGAAAACAGCTCAGCACGCGGTGCTGCTAACGACGTCATCACCACGGTTACGGATGAAAACACGCGGTGCTGCTAACGAGGCTGCTGTGACGAAACAAAGAAAGGCAACTCTTTATTTTATTTTTTTTGTTTTTGTTCTTTTTCTCCATCAAACTGTTCTTGTGCAAGTTTTGCTGGCAATTTAGGAGTAAACATTGTTTTCACAAAAATATATACGCTATCGTTCACAAAGAAGGCTGACGTTGGAGGGTTTGGAATAACCGTGACTTTTTTCTTTTTTTTTTTTGGCCCCTCAGTGCAGTACATTACTTCTGCACTGAAGCAAACAAAGACGAGGGGCGGGGGCACGGGGGTGGGCGACACTTTACCTGCATGCAAACATTTTTTTCTCAGCACGTTCACATTCACGCCTGCAGATCTCTACTGAACACAGTTGCTGTTGCAAAGGCAAAAAACCAGTAGCTGAGTGGATCCTGTGCTTCTGAACTGGGTGGGCGTCGTACCGCGGTCAGTGCGCAGCCTGCTTGGCCCGCTGGGTGTGGCACTTCATACACAGGATTTTACCATCCAGAGGAAAGCAGCCGTTTTCATCTGCTTCTATGGAGAGGGGCCGAGCACAGTCCTGCAGCAAACACATGACAGGAAATGGCAGTTTAGAGAAAATGACACAAGGCGCTGAATATTTTTTGGTGGTTTTTCGATAGTACAGAAGGAAGTATTACTTCACAGCGGTAACACTTGAGGTGGAAGTTCTTGTCCAGGGCCACCACCCTGACCGTTTCCTCACTGCCTTGAGCGGGAACAATGGGCTCGTTACAGCTCACACACAGAGGAGAGAAACGCCTGGAATAGAGAGGTGGAGATGTGGCTGTCAGCCCATCGCTGCTGGTCCCAGTCTCACACAGACACAGACACAGACACAGACACAGACACAGACACAGGAACAGACACAGGACATCTTGTGCAGTGTTGTGCAGTGTAATGAGGAGAAATTTGGAGATGTGCTGCTCCAGGACTGGTGAGAGTTATTCTGCCTTGTTGAATCAGATCAGTATCTGGAGGTTAGTTTTAGTTCCTCAAACTCTTCGTCTACATAAGGTTAGAACTATGACAAAATAACTGCATTAAAAAAAGAATAAAAAAAATATATATATATAAATATACAAAAACACACCTATATTTTATGCATTTATGAAATCATAAATACATGGATACATAAATGTATATTCTATAGCTAGTACCAGGAGAACAATATATATATAACCCTATTAAAAAGGCAACACTGACCTGTGATAATCCTGGACACAGTAAGGGTTGTTGTTGTCATCTGTGATGAAGGGCGCCCCCTCAAGTACACAGGAGCAGGTGCTGCAGCGGAAACAGTGGGCGTGGAAACACTGGCCCACTGCCTTCAACACGCGGTCCGTGATCCGCTCCCCACATCTGGAGCACACGGCCAGGGAACTCTGGGTCAGAGGAAGAGGAGAGGAAGAGGAGTGGGTCCAGGAGAACAGTGGAACAAAACCTCGGTTGAATCTGTTTCTGTCCTCACCTTGTAGCAGTCCTCACACTGAGGACAGCCGTCTCTGTCGTAGAACTGCATGCCCTGCAGGGGGCGGTGACAGCTCATGCAGCAGAAGCAGTTGGAGTGGAAGAGTTTGTCCATGGCTCTGACTGCCGGCTGACTGCGGGACAGAGCTTCACCGCACTTACCACACACCTCTGACAGAAGAGGAGAGAACAGAGTCAGAACCAGAGTCAGAACCAGAGTCAGAACAGAGTCAGAACAGAGTCAGAACAGAGTCAGAACCAGAGTCAGAACCAGAGTCAGAACAGAGGAAAAACATTCAACTATGATTTCATTTGGATGATTTTTTTTTACTGTCATTATAAAAAATAAACTGAACATTTACAGTTCATCTGTGGCTCCTGGTTCGTATTTAAATACTTGACAAATTTAAAAATCTAAAGTATCTGTCACACAGCTCTGTGACGTCTCATTTCTTTTTTTTTTTTTTTTTTTTTTTTTTAAGGACACAGGGAAAAGGGCTTCCTTTTCCC